TGTTCACGGAAGAAGAAAGCTCTGTCATTTCAACCGACGTTCTGTCACTTCGATGGTTATGTGGCTGGCCAAGTTTTGTTCTTTGTGTTGAGAGTGTCACGGCATCCCAAACCGTGGTGTCGACAACGCCAGTAGACAGTCTCATTCTCCATCTTGCTTTCACACTGAACTGGTAGTTATTGTGAAGAAGATACTGACCGCCTATGTTGTTGTCGATGAACCTGATTTCTACACATGCATGCATGAAATTATTTGGCTAAAGTTTGCTATATATACTGGTAATACCTTCTCAGTGGTAAATCTAGTTAAAACCAATTCAACGTACTTCATTTCTCTCTCACTTTAACACATATATGAAAAATGTAAAATATTCAAATAATACCAATCAATGTATCTCACTTTAATACAAATTTCACTAATCTAACTAATTGAGCATTTGTTGATACAGACTATGACTCATCTTGACTAAGTGTCATCAAAACACTAACTCTAGTCAGCCAAATGCCACTCTGGCACTCTTTTGACAGAATCTGGCTAAGTGAGAGGACACCAAAACTAAGTACTGCTAATCGGTGTAATTCATCGTCCAGAATACAGGGTAGTTCAGACTCAATTTCACACAATACCAGATGATGTAACAGACCGATCATACATGTCAGACTGGCCCATCAAATACATGCCTGCCTAGATATAGAATATGACGTCTGCTTATCGGCCGTTCCAAATATTCACAAAATAAACTGGCAGTATTTAGCTACAGGGAACAAGGGTACAGTGCTAACGAACCAAGAATCGTAACCAAGGATTATCTTGGGATTTAAAATACAACCCTACGTATCAATCCTTCACGCATCCGCCTCTGTTTCTCAGCAGGACGAACTGTACAGGACATCAACAGAGGTAATGCAGTGTTAAGAAAATAATTGCAAAAGACATTTTTAGTGCTTGCTTCCAGTCGCTTTGGGAAACACGCTCTTATGGTGACATTTCCAAAGAAATTGGGCCTTCATTGAGCGCCAGTTACATAAAGTACGTGATCTAGACTACCGGTTGTCAGGTTTTGTGGCGGCCGCAGAGGCCGAACAGTTTAGATCGCTGACATCGTGCGCTTGCGTTTAGGTGCTTCACTCTGACATTCTGCTTCGATGCAAGATAAACGTTCAAATTGTATTAGATTCTATAACTCATCTCGGACATGCTGATTCATACAGCTTCCATTGTAACAAGGGTAGTGTTTGTCACAGAAACTTTCAGTAATGCTGCTTGGTCTGCACGGATTGCCGTTGTTCATGGCACTTCTTGCCAGTGTTCTGTAATATTTCGCGATGCTCTTCTGCACATGTGGTTTATATATCTTGCAGCCGTGAGGGTTCCCACCAAAGTATGTGCAGTCAATGTTCATGTTGCCGCTAACATTCTTACACGAATAGAGACGCAGTCCGCGAGGTCCTCCACCGTCATTGGTTTTATATTCAGCAAAGTTGCACGTCACGCCTTCCACTTTTATTGTGTCCTAAACGTGCAGAAAAGAAATAATAATATCAACTAGGTGTTGTATATAAGTGTCACCGACACCCTTTTTAGTCAGAGGAAATGCCTGCTAAAAGCTGATTCCATTTACAGTCCCGACATAACTGTAGCATGTGTGTATAAATCAGTATCCTATAATTTTTATATGGCAGTAGACACTCTCTAAAATTCTAAATATCTTGCTCAGTTTCAGCATGACCTGGAGAGGGCCCAAATCTGAATGTCTTTATGATAGGTCGTTCTCATCTCTTTGTTTAAGAGAGAACATGTCTTGGTTAAGTTAATGAGGCGAGACACTTTACAATCAAGGACAGATATATTCTCTAATGGTATTTATTTTCATATGAGTTTCATTTATGTTTTGTATAAAAAAAAATCAAATAGTTGTCGGAAGTTACTGATACAATAACCACTATCGCGTTATCTTGTGGTATTGTCCTCCCTACGATACAGGAGTTTCATTAGTCTTTTCTCTATGTTTGGCCGTTTGAAGTTATTTTAATAACAATTACAACTTCAAACGTTTGTTGCTCTGTGATAAATGTTAATAATAATAATAGTGCCTATTTATAGTGCGCACAAATCCACGCTCGTAAGCATGCTCATGTACCTAAAAATCATCTGTTTTGAGTAATTTTCACATAGGTTAGAATAACCGTTGCTATGGAACTATACACATCAACTCTTCAAAAATATAATTGAAGTGGAGTTATATGTATTCTTTCAAGACAAAGTAAAAGAATTCTGACAGCACGAATGGTTTTAACAATCTTGCCATCTGAAAATGGTATTTTCGTATATTTTCACATGCGATTCTGGGTCAGTATCGTAGAAATAAAGGCTAAAAAATGAATGAAAAATATTGAGAGGAGAAAACATTCTGAGTGACATGACATTTTTGCAGACCAAATAAAGGGAATGACAAAATATCATGTCAATATGAAATTTTGGACTATCCACTTCTGCATGATTCTTTGGTGGAATGCTACTTAATAACATAACTGCAACTAACACTATGTCCAAATACAGGATCGAACTTAAAAATAAAGTTTATTCAAGCACAAAACAGATATCTTCTTGCAAACCTCTTATTCTACATGGGCACGCATATGATGAGGAACGGATTGGACCCATCAAATAAAGCCATAATCGAATATATGAGCCAAGATAACGATGAACGATCAAATACTCACCATGTAGCTATTTCCATCTACTTCATCTCTGTACAAGGTGACCAGAAGTAGAACAAACTGTCGAAAGATGATGGTCCACAGGTCCATATGGGTATCTACAGAAGTACAAATAACGGACACTTAGATAATGTCTCTAACGCTTTCTTGTGATTGATGTGAGATATAAACTCACGGGCGAAAGAAACGTCACCTCGCTTTTCTAAAATGTCACAAAACAACAATCTCTGATTTTGGAAATGCAACAGTCATATTTGGAAAGTTAATTGTTTTACAACATTCTGAATGATGAAAGTGTGAACTACAGATTTGAATGATAACACAGTGTACAATTGAATCGAGGACAGTTGACTGTCCGGTATTCGAGTACCATCTGTTTCATCATAAGCGGCTCTAAACTGAAGACAGACAGTTTAATACAGTCAATATCGTGTGTGGTCAGCCCTGGCTTGTATGCAAGCATGGACACGACGTCTAGCGGAAAATGTTAGTCATCTGATCACATGTATCGGGATTCTCCGTCATTCTTCAAGTAGGGCCTGTACCAACGCCTTTCTTGTCTGTACGGGTGGCTGTCGCTTGTTGATTTGTCGTCCAAGGTGGTCCCACAGTTGCTCAATCGGGGACAAGTCGGGAGATCGAGCTGGCCAAGGAAGTAACGTCACATTCTGGGCATTAAGGAAGTCCATACTGATGCGTGCCTTATGAGGTGTGGCGTTGTCTTGTTGGAACATGGTACGTGGGTGATTCGTGGATGAATGGCACGACGACTGGTCTTAAAACTTCATTGATGTACCGTGCAGCTGTTAGATTACCATGAATCACAATAAGATCAGTCTTCATGTCGCCACAAATCCCTCCCCAGACCATCACGCTTCCACCACCATAGTGGTTGGTCTCTTGTACGCAGCAACGTCGTGTACGTTCTCCCCGCCTTCGGTATACCCGTTGTCTACCGTCTGGTTTACACACTTGGAAACGGCTTTCATCGGTAAAGAGCACTCTGGACCAGTTTCTTGCTTGCCATCGCTCAACACTGACTGACTGAGTATGGTTTTACGCCGTTTTTAGCAATATTCCAGCAATATCACGGCGGGGGACACCAGAAATGGGCTTCACAAGTTGTACCCATGTGGGGAATCGAACCCGGGCCTTCGGCGTGACCATCGCTCAACAGTTCTCGCCCACCTCAATCTTTGACAACGATGTTCAGGCGTCAACGTCATAGCCTTCAGCGGTCGATAGGCTCTGATACCATGGTGTCGAAGACGTCTGGCAACGGTCCTTCTGCTGACTCGATGGCCAAGAGCAGTTCGGGCGGATGACGTCACAGTTACGAAGCGGTTCCTCAAGTGAAGCAGTCGTAAATAACGGTCTTCCTGGGGGGTCGTGACCCCCGGATGTCCACTTATAGGCCTGTCAGACGTGACACCCGTCCGTCTGTAACGGCTCACCAATCTCAGGATTGTTCGCTTTGAACAGTTCATCAACCTTGCAACATGGGACTGCGTCGCTCCCAAATCCAGCATGTCAATAGCTCGTTCTCTCTGCTGTGCTGTTAGCCTTGGCATGTTTCCTTTTGACCATACGATGTGATAATGGAATACATAATTTCTGTACACATTTTATACCTGAATGCAATACGGCTTTTTACGAAGGAATTTCGTGCAAATTCCGTGCAAATTTAACATTTTTACACAAATTACATGAATATCGGGCAATTCAATGCGTAGTGTATGTTGTGTGCGTTCGGGCAAGTTGTTTCAACCCGTTTTTTATTGACAAAAATACAAAGGTTCGTTAAAAAATGAAACATAATTTTAGTGTCGTTTCTTTTGTTCGTGAGTTTATTTGCATCATAAAAGCTGCTTAAGCATATGCGCATTAACCTGATTACATTCAATAAGTTAGGGCACAACAAAGTAAGGACCATGTAACTGACAATACGATTATAAACAAATGACGGTTGCAATGTTGAGGAAGATATATGTGCATCATTGTGTGATTCAAAGTTGTTTAATTATATACGTGTGAACATAATTACATTCATTACATTGGGTGAAGTGAGGTGAGGCGAAATTGGGTTTAACGTCGTGCTTGAGAATATTTCGCTCATATGACGACGTGCATGCGTGTGTATGTGTATATGTGCGGCTGCTTGTACTAGCCCAGACTTAAGCTGGTTTTATAGTGCTAGCTCACTGAGATACCATGCCGCAGTGAAGCATGAATACCCCACTCAGACACATTATACTGACTCCGAGCCGACCAGTCCTTGTTGTACCCATTAATGCCTAGCGCCAGGCATGACGCGGTCGGGGATCGGGCGGACGCTCTAACCACTACACTACGGAGGCGGTCTTCAATTTATTAGGGGACAACAAAGCAAAGACCATGTAACGGATAACATAAATCCAAAATGTAAGTTAAGTGGTTCCAAATTCATGTGGATTCACAATTCGAAAGGTTTACTGGAAAGTACATAGCCCCTAAAACATATATTGATTAAAGACCATGCCAATGCTGACTTATATATGATGACATATGCTTCGATCACCGCAACAACAGACCACATTTCTTACACACAAATATATTCACAACCATCTTCCAACTCGACAACAATTACGGTCGCCATTGCATTTGCAAACAAATTCTACCTCATCTCTTTATTTTTAACCAGAATCTGCCTCGACATAACTCACTGTTATATCTCGGAAACATAATCTAACTGACCTCTGTGAGTGAGTAAGGTTTAACACCGCTTTGAACAGTATTTCAACTATTTCAGATTTATGTGGAAGCCCGAACTGTGAAACGTAAGTGTGAGAGTCCGTCTTTGACTTTTCCCCAGAGGACTCTATAAGCAGCTGTATGATGACATATGAACAAAATCACTATTAACTAGAGCAGGTTACGGGCACACCTATTTTTTTACTCCCCGTGGCTCCAGCTGCTTTCGTAGGTCATTGTGGTGGTGCAATACTTTGTCCTTCTTTCCAGCAACCATCCCCAGTCCTTAATTTCCAGCAATCATTCCCAGTCCTTACTTTCAGCAACCATCTCCAGTCCTTACTTTCAAGCAACCATTCCCAGTCCGTACTTTCCAGCAACAGTCCCAAGTTCTGACTTTCCTGCAATCATTCCCAGTCCTTTCTTTCCAGCAATCATTCCCAGTCCTTACTTTCCAGCAATCATTCCCAGTCCTTACTTTCCAGCAATCATTCCCAGTCCTTACTTTCCAGCAATCATTCCAAGTCCTTACTTTCAGCAACAATCCCCAGTCCTTACTTTCCAGCAATCAATCCCAGTTCTTACTTTCCAGCAATGATTCCCAGTCCTTACTTTCCAGCAACCATTCCCAGTCCTTACTTTCCAGCAATGATTCCCAGTCCTTACTTTCAGCAACAATCCCCAGTCCTTACTTTCCAGCAATCATTCCCAGTCATTACTTTCAGTAACAATCCCCAGTCCTTACTATCCAACAACCATCCCCAGTTCTTACTTTCCAGCAACAATCCCAGTCCTTACTTTCCAGCAACCATCCCAAGTCCTTACTTTCTAGCAATCATTCCCAGTCCTTACTTTCCAGCAACCATTCCAAGTCCTTACTTTCTAGCAATCATTCCCAGTCCTTACATTCCTGCAATTATTCTCAGTCCTTACTTTCTAGCAATCGTTCCCAGTCCTTACTTTCCTGCAATTATTCTCAGTCCTTACTTTCCTGCAATCATTCCCAGTCCTTACTTTCCAGCAATCATTCAGAGTCCTTACTTTCCAGCAATCATTCTCAGTC